AATATTTTGAAAGATCATCAATGGAAGATATATTGTTGATCAATTCGGCATTTGTTTTTTGTGTGCCTCGTTGATGAAACATTCAGAAGAGACCGACAAAGCCGACCCAAAGGTGCGAGTCCGCACTCATTGTGTTGATTATATTGTTCGGCATTGTAAAATAAATTTTGTAAGTGTCAAAGTAATCATGAATCTTTCGTTGGAGTATTTGTTCGTCAAAACACATTGCCAGAGTCATTGTTGCTGTCATGGCAGAAGCACTTGGAGAGAGCTTTTCGCTGGAAGAAATGGAAACGATATGTTCATATCGCGGCTTGCGCCAGCTTCTGTCTTCAATAGAGAGGGCGAAATTCCAGTCCCTGCAAAAGTATGGGTATTTTTTGCTCAAGCGCATGCCACGAAGAGGATTTTGATACATGTATGAACAATCGAAGGCCAGATGGTGAGTTTGTATTGTTGTGTTCGTTATAAGCGTGCTTCACATGTAATCTTATTGTATTCGTTCATTAGTTTATATATGTTTCGTTAGTTTATACGCAAAAAAAATGCCTGAACAATGGTTCATTTGAGAATATGTAATGTTGTTCACCGTGATAGTTCACTCAAAGGATAATGATTATCTAAAAATAGGTGGGTAAACTTTGTTTACATATTTTGATACTTTGCCTGCCAAGAATTATGCAGTAGACATACATTTCTGAAAGCTTTAACCACTGGCTTTAATTAACACACATGATTTGTTTTATTAAATACCCCACATAATTATGTATATCCTTGCCGGGTAAAATATCAAATTATGTAAAAAAAAGTTTACCCGTCTATATACAAGTCTACATAGGTGTAAAAATGCAGTAATTTGGTGGTAAGAAATATCTGTGTTTTACTGTGCTTGAGTCTTTGCATTTAATTAATGATAAATATATTCATTTCAGAATCTTGTGGAAGCAATGGATTTAAATGCCCTTTGAAGAGCATTTGCGTTAGAGCTTATACAGCATCAGCCAGCTGCATTTGTCAATTTGGTAAATGGTGAATTGCCAGGTGAACCGCTTCAACCAGACCCAGCTACGAAAACCCAGAAAATGCCTCAGAGTATTGCAAATGTGGATGCTGTGTTGCAATGCCAACACAATTGGAAAACAAATGCTGTGCACAAACAAGACAGCCTTACACAACCCTAGCCCCCTCTTCCCACAGTTAGTACTTGATGGAAATGTTTGATCTGGACCTGGCCATGCATTAGAGGGATCATTGAGGGAAACTTTATTATTCATTAATCCATTTTACTGCAATTATCTCCCCATGACAGGGAGGGTCATTTTAAATATTTGGAAAGAACTTGGGTAATTCACACAAGCGATTTTAAACTTTGATTTTCTCCTTTTGGCATTTGTGTTCTAGCAAAATTACAGGAAACATTACTTTGCGTGGCTTGATTATTCACTCTAACACATACACCAAAAGAAGAAAATTGCAGTTCAAAATTGCTTCACACTTATTTAAGCTTTCTACAGCAAATTTTGCTAACAAATGAAAGCCTTTATCATGTTAATGGGTTAAATCTTTATGAACAGTAATATTTCATTTTATAAAAGACAAGATGTTCAAAAGCACAACATTTGGTATTGACATTGATTTTTTTTATTCTTTAAAATTACTCCTTGCTCCTTACTTCAGTCCTGAAAAGTGTATTGCTGTGCACCGAAGATCAATAAATCCAATATGGACACCCTGGCTCACTATTGGGGTCCGGGGGTTTGTAATCAGAGTTCCTTCTCCAATGTGGACTGCCTTTCAAGAATTATGAGCACCACCTAACCAGAGCACTTTGTTTTAAGTGGCAGACAGTTGTCTACACGACTACAGTGATCAGTTGAAACTGGACTGATGGGTTTCAACAAGTTGTTTGACTGAAGGAGGGACAGGGGTTATGTTAGGAGCGATTTGCCTTCGGTCATCACTTGCAACACCAATCCCCATACCTAAAAAAGACTTCAATTAGTTTTATTCCTGTTTAAATGCTGCTGACCAATGTGTTTTAAAAACACTTAAATGGCTTTTTTCAAGCCACATTTTGATTTTGTTAATGTTAATGTTCATGCAAATCAAAATTTGGCTTTCCAAAAAGCCATTTAAGTGCTCTTAAAACACATCAATCAACATGCCTACAGAATGATCAAAATATTTATTTGAAAATGTGATATAAAGAACATGGAATTTCATAATGAAAACTAAAAGTCACTTTTTTTCTCACTAGGATTCAAGAAAGCATAAAATGTTATACATACCTTCATTATAAGTTGTAGGATGTATTCGTACTGCCTAGGAGAATCTTTAAGAATCTTTATATGGCTCCATTGCTGTTTCCCCTTGCTGAACATATATTGGCAAATGGCAATGGCTCATGTCTGCATTGTATTGTTTCATCTGGCTGCTGATCCGTCTGGGTTTCCACAGCGCTATAAGTGCACAATAAAGTTTTGTAATGAGGAAATATAACAACATTAACATAACTGAAATATCCAGGGATATGTGTTATGTGCTTACCACAATTAAATCCGTCTTGATGTTTCGTATACAGGCTCGATCAGCAGAGTATTCGCGAACCCTCATCATTTTTAATTCCAGCTTCAGTTTTGAAATGATTTCACCGACCAATAGCATCATTCAAGTACGTTTTCGTTGCATACCTTTTCGCGAAATGTTCTTATTGGTCCATTTAACAACTAAAATTATATTTCAGAAATGGGTGAGGTTCTACCGTGCTACTGCCTTACGTGTTGCAATATACACCAATAACGGAATAGAGCAACAAAATAACTGGCTGAAGTCATCTTATCTTGAGAGAAAAAGAAACAGCACCATAGCAGAACTGGTGGATGTCTTGCTCACACAATTTCTTCCTGATAGTTGTTACAACAAGTAAGACATTTTCAGTAATGTACTCTATAGTATACAATGTACTGTATTTTCCCCAGTGATTTATCATCTGTGTAGCAGACTGCACAACCTATTTGTTTACCTGCATAAATTGCATTTAAATCTTTGTTTATCCACTGTTCACAGATACATTAATATTCGGTCATCAGAAATGTACAGGAAGTATGACAGCAAAGTTCCAGAGTTTTTGCATAACCGTCCAAACGGAATTGTTAGACATATCATCAAAAGAATGTATCCAGAGTATCCAAGCAGTTATGTTCAAAATTGTGGACACAAGCTATTCATGGTGAATAGTGAAACATCTGATGCAAGATACCAAGTGTGGCTTGGCTCAGATATCCAACTTCCAAGCTGTCAATGTGTCGATTACAAGATAAACAGGCTCCCTTGTAAACATATTTGTGCAGTGGTCAATCTCCCAGATGTTGGATGGCAGTCTCTTGGGGCAAGTTTCCATAACTACCCACTTTTTAAATTGGATTCCACTGTGGTAACATACACTTCATCTGCTCAGTCATCAACTATCCAAAACAACGCCACTAAAGAGAATGATGCCAGCAAAGACGATGATGCTAGCAAAGGAGATGATGACAATGATGATGCTCTTGCTGACCAAGCAGAAAACATCAATACAGCAACATCACCAGAAAAACTACAAAAGAAAAATGATGTTCAATACAAAGGACTGGAAGCAAGGACTTGAAAGTAAATGCTCAAGCGAAATGCACTTCAACACTAAAAGCACTGAATGATGAGCTATATACAGTGCAAAACACCAAAGTATTGTCCAAGCTGCAGTCATTGATACAAGAAGCACTAGCTTATGCACGGGCTAACCATCCTGAGAACAACATTCCTTTAAAGGATAAAACACTCTCTCCAAAGCGTGCCTAGAAAAGGAACGTTAGTCAGCTGAGTGGCAAAAAACCATTGTTACCCTTGCAAGCTAAGAGAAGAAAAAAGAAGCGCTTTGGTGTTCGTGCAGAGAACCGAGAAAAATCAGCTGATCTCACCATCACATCAAATGGTTCTGCCAAGAACAGAGAGAAAAGAAAAGAGAGAAACCTGTTGTCATTGATTTGACCACTCTCAAGAATTATGACCAGTCGAATGCCAAAGCACAACCGTGGTTAACTGTGCAAGGAATGAATCTAACAGAAGAGTTACGAGAAATTCTGATGAATGAAAAGGAATGACTTTCAGACGAACATGCGGATGCAGCTCAATGGTTACTAAAGTCAGAGAACCCTGGTGTTGGTGGCCTGAATGATATTGTTGTGATGACTCACTTCAAAAAAACAAGAGTCAACTTTGCAACTGCAGATGGTAGGACTATTCAATGCCATAACATTGGAGGCCATTGGGTGGTATCGACGTCTGTCCATGGTAGGGTTACTGTGTATTTGAGCTTATACACTGGGCTCAACAAAACGTTACTGCAACAACTTGTGCATCTGTACCAAAATGTTTGTGTCAAGCAACAACTTACAGTGACTGTTGTTTTACAACAACTTCAGAAAGGCCTTTCTGATTGTGGCCTATTTTGTCTAGCAAATGCCACAGCACTTGCACAAGGAGTGAATTCAACTTATGTTATGTGGGATCAAAGTAAAATGAGAGAACATCTTGTGGAATGTTATAAAAATAATCGAAAGAAAGTGTTTCCTCATCTACCTAATTGGCAAGGTGATAAGCGAACTAAAGTCTACAAACTGAAACTCTTGGGTAAATAATAGAATAGTTGACATTAGTCACCCTGCATTGGTCTATTGGTGTATAACTGTATATATTGTATATTATATGTATATTTCTAAAATTCATTAATAATTCATATCTTCAGTTATATCTCTAAATGTAGCAAAATCTAGAGTTTAAAGATTGCGTTTAAACTAATAATACAATATAAACCTGAGGATATAAATCTTATCGCACGTGCTGCTTGAAGTCCTTGAATTTAAATCCCACAAAGAGTGGTTCCGGTCTCAAGAATTTTGACGTCACTGTACGTACGTTGACGCTATATGATCTAACGCCGACCCTTTATAATGGGTTGGAATTGAGTACAGGTTCAAATGCAGCGTCTTACTGCAAAATATATAAATATTAAATGTAGAATACATGGAAGTGAATAACATAGCCTTTACATAGTTATTTGCGACTAGCTATAAAAACAAATAGCATTTCTAAAAATATGTCTATTTTAACATCCCTTTACAAAAGCATGTCTGTGAATCCAGTCATCCTTGCATTGTAAAAACGTCAATTTTAGAGCAAACATTCAGATAAAGATAGTGTAGCTGACTTTTGAAGTATTGCTGACTTTGAACAGAGTTAACTTGTTTTGAATTTTCCATGATTGTAGTTGCACCCGTTCCATTGCTAATAAAATAGATTGATTGAAGCAAGATTTTTGCAAATATTGACGAAAAAGTGCATTTTCGGATGTGATTTGATGGGACTAATTACCTGGTAAAAATGTAGTCTGTGTTCCAGTCCACTACACCGTTGTGTGTGGTCCAGTCCACTACACCGTTGTGTGTGGACTGTGCAATATTCTCAAATTTCTCGCCATGTATGCATGACGTAGTGCATATTTTGTTAATTTGACTTAATTTCATAATTTATGCAAATGAACATGGCCGCCAAAGGAGTGGAGCACATGAATAAAAGATATCAAGAGGCTTTTGATTTAATAAAATATGTGTTTAAGATTGATGAGCTGTACGATGATCAAATGAAATTGATAAAAGCTTTTTGCAATGATCAAAATATTTTCTTTAACGCTCCAACGGGATATGGAAAATCCATTGTATTCCAGTCACTACCTTGGGTTTATGATATACTTCAAGAACAAACAATTGGAATTTCAACACTAATTGTGATCTTGCCATTAAAAACTTTAAGGGAAGATCAATGTAACCACATGAAAGAGATTGGTATTTCTTCAATTGCTCTGTATTCGGAGAGCAGTTCGAATGCTACAACGGCAAGCGATTGCGAGTATGAAAATATTCTTAAAAACGTGAGAGAAGGCGAATATTCCTTGGTGTTTGCTTTCCCCGAATGTTTACTTGGTAAAAAAGCGTGGAGAAACATTTTGTGCTCTGAAGAATTTCGAGATCATTGTATTGGAGTAGCATACGACGGAGCACACATAATAGCACAATGGTAGGGATTTATAAAGATTATCAAATCAATACTGATTATAAAGGCTTGATAGTTGAACTGTGAAGCAAATCCCAGGTTTCGCCTTGTGGATATGTTTCATGGTGGAACACCAGAAAGTGTAAAAAAGCATATTGTTGCACAACTGGCTATCCCCGACAGCTGTCTCAGGGTTGTTATATGCACTGTTGCTTTTGGTATGGGTGTAAACTGCAGCAATGTAAATAAGTCAATTCATTTTGGAGCACCAAAATCCTTGGAAGCATATATTCAAGAAAGTGGAAGAATTGGATGTAATGGTAGCACTAGTATCAGTAGGATTCTATATAATGCAATGTTGCTCAGAGGAGCAGATCATCAAATGAGAAACTACATTAAAGAAACACAATACTCGAACTGACCAGACCGCATAGTTCAGTTGGCAGAGATTTGGGCTAGTATTCCAAAGGTCATAGGTTCGATTCCGACCATGGTCAGGCATATTTTTCAAG